CCAGCAGAAGATAAGTGGAGCTACAGCCCAAGCTGTGAAATGTGGAAACAAAACCTGTATGAAGTTGGAACAGGAGAGGCGCATGTACATGCTCTAACCTGACAGACAGAAATACTCCTAACAACAGAGGAGGAAGCACAACTTTATGAACTTCCTGAAAGCCTGTGGATCACAGGCCCCTCAGAGGCATGCAGAGGCATGACAACCTCTACTGGAAAACCTGTAACACGGCACTCTTTTAACTAATCTGCTCAAGGCTGTAATGTTACCAAATAAAATAGCAGTATGCAAGTGTACAGCCCACACCACGGGACAAGATGATGTCTAATGGAAACAGATTAGCTGACAATGTTGCAAAGGAAGCAGCACTAGGCAAACATGGAATAGGAAACTTTGTAACACAAACTGAAAATATTGACATCATTGACAAAACAGAATTTAAAGACATGCAAAGTAATGCTCCACACACTGAAAAACAAATGTGGATAACAAAAGGGACTAGTCCCAACACAGATGAAATTTATCAAGTAAATAACAAACCAATTTTACCAAAATCTTTTTTAAAGCAGCAGCAATTGTGACACATGGACCATGCCTTTTGTCAACAGGAGAGATGCAGGCTATAATACAGGAACATTTTACCACCTATAGAATAACTTCTTACTTACATTTTTTTTGTAAAGCATGTTCAGTCTGTGTCAAAAATAACCCACAAGGGAACATCAGGCCCAAAAGGGGCTCATTCCCAAAACCAGCCTACCCTTTTCAAACAATGCACATGGATTTTATTGAACTAACACAAAGTGGTCCATATAAATACTGTCTGGTAATGATTGATGTATTCTCTAAATGGGTTGAAATTGTTCCATCTAAAAAAGCAGATGCACTAACAGTAGCAAAGGCTATATGCAAAAATGTTATCCCAGTTCATGGAATACCACAAATCCTATACAGTGATAATGGCCCACATTTTGTTAACAATATAATCCAAAACATGGCAGAACACCTAGGCATAACGTTAAAAAATCACTGTGCGTACCACCCTCAAAGTACAGGGCTGGTAGAGAGAACAAATGGAACTGTTAAGAGCAGACTAAGAAAACACACGAAAACCACAGGCAGGCCATGGCCAGAATGTTTAGATTTAGTGAAACTCTACATGAGAATCACACCTACTTGAGAAGACCTAATACCTTTTGAAATAGTTCATGGCAGACCATACAGACTGCCCCTCTTTTCTGCAGACCTAGAAAAGCAGACAAAGAACAAACTTTAACAGATTATATGATCAGGACCTTGAAGTTGAAAGATGTATCAAATGCAAATGTACTGCCATCTGATTATCCTCCTTCACAGAACAGCCCACCCATCAAACAGGGCGACTGGTTCTACTTCAAAGTGATCAAAAGGAAGAACTGGACCAGCCCACGTTGGGAGGGACCGTTCCAAGAACTGCTGACCACACCTACAGCATTAAAGATCGCTGAAAGACCCAGCTGGATACATCTCAGCTACTGTAAGTTGCAGAAAGTGCTGGATCCCTAGAACACTGGAGCAGTGGGGAAGTCTGACTACAAAGGGGCTCTTCTGTATAGAGGATGGGAGTCTCAACGTCAGTGAAGAAATCAACAGATCCCTGTTCTTTACGTTTCTGGGACCCAGTGTTTCTGTATACTGAGCAGTAATGGGGTCTCCACATGCCAGGTGGATCCTCAGCTGTGTTGTGACTGCAGCATGCTGTGTAACCTGGTGCATGGGTGGAGAAGCTCTCCAAAGAGGCAAAAGTGAGATGAAACACCCTCATGACTATAGCACCAATTTGTGGTGGCAGCTGATGAACAAAACCGCACACGAAGGGAACTAAGTCAACTGCTATGTATGTGCCTACCCACCCTATGCCACCCACAACTCAGGCCTGAGACCAGGAAAAATCACAATAGAGCAAAAGAAGTGCCTGTATGGCCTGAGCACACACCCCAGCTAGAACACCACATCACAACAAATCATCGAGTGGGAACAGAGGAACTACTCCACACCCCTGCAAGTTGCAACAAAAACCCACAAGCCCATAACCGATCAAGACTGCAGGCAAATGACAGACCTGCTGTTGCCACAAATGACAATACAACTGCCTGAACTGATTACCCTGGCCAGGGCGAGGCCAGGCTCACTTGGCCACTGTGTGTTCAACAACGAGACCACGACCATGGGCTCCGTCCCATGGAATCGGTGTTAAAAGGTGCTCACCTTCTGTGACTACACACCCAAGTTTTTAAAATGTTTTTCTTGTGTGGCAAGGAAAAACACCACCGGCGACTGTGCCGCATACCAGGACCCAAAATGCGGACGCTATCTCCAACGCCTCATATTCAACATCAGCCTACAAACAAAAGGAAGCCAAAACACCACTGATTGCAGCGCCACCGTGCCAGGAGACAAAGGCTCCAGAACTCTGGCTGACTGGTACTTCCTGTGTGGCCACAGAGCTTACACTGCACTACCACCACACTGGGTGGACCTTTGTGCTTTGGTCCCCCTATCTAGCCCCGTGATGCTCCTCAGAAAAGGCTCTAAACCACTGACCAGGAAGAAACGTTCACCAATGCCCGAGGTGCACCGATGGGGAGGGCTCACCACCATCACCGGCATCCCATGGGAATTCAGGATCTGGAATGGAGGAGAAAAGTTCTTCCAAGAACTGTTCCCATGGGTGGGAGTCGGTGAAATCCGAGACCACGTCGAGATCAACCGTTATGCCCTCCTTCGCCTCATCAACGACACCTACAGACTGGCAAATGGAACAACAAAGGAATTGACTGCAATGAGAGACATGATCATCCAGAACCACGTCATCTTGGACCTGCTCACCGCCTCACAAGGAGGGGTATGTAAGATTATAGGAACCACATACTGCACCTACATCCCAGATGAGACTGGAACTGGTGGAGACATCCATGATGCTATAAACGACCTAGAACAACTGAAACGGTATGTGGACAGTGCAACATCAGGAGCACAACCCTTTGATTTTCTTTCATGGCTCACCTCAGGACCGTGGTTGTAAGGATGGTACCATTTGCTGTTTCTGTTTGTGTCTGTTTCCTCG